TCAGAGCCCTCGGCGACAGCTAAACAAGCGAATACCAGTCCCCCTTGATAATATTTCCTCTTGAGTGAATTTATTAGCTCAGCATGCTTACCTGTGGACGAGTCTTCGCTGGCAACCTGCTCTAATTGCAACACATCACTGGGTTGAAGCCACTTCATGAGTAGGACCTCCCATTATCCTTGACACTAGATGCCTTCACGTGCTCCCCGTAAACTAAAATTAAACCTAACCACCTCCATATATTTCATTGGGTTTAAATTACTGCCGGGTATCTACTAAATATGTTACACAAGTAGTTTCATAAAATTGAAATACTCCATCATGTCAACTTTGTACTTAACGGTACTTAAATACAAGATCCTGCTAATTTGTTGACGCCGCTCTTATAAAGATCTTTGGCAGTGGCAACTTTATTTAAACCACTGAGACACAACCCAAATAATTCTTTAATAATGTGAAGAATAAATCAGAATGCTAATGAATGGTTTGCAATTATTTGAAATACGTTCACAGCCCATTCTTTCCCTTTCCCAAATCCAATACAACTAGTCTTTCTAAAATCTGTGAAGGGAATAGATTGCTCTGGCACTCTAGAAATCTTTAAATATTAGACTATGATTTGAGAGCTCTAGTTTTCCACCTGGAATGAATTGAGGCAACAGAACATGGGAGCACTGTAACTGTTGCAGTCATTTCGGGCATGATGACGATGTTTGTCGTGATGCCAGTGAGCAGCCGCAACAGTACCGGGGAACCGGGACACGTCATCATCGCTGGTAATTGATCACCATGGCAATGGCAGCTGATTGATTTTGCCGACTCATTGACATATCCCTCGTTCACCCCGCAGAGCACACGGTTGTATCCTACCTGTCCTTTTCCATATCCAAAGCTAGTATGAAGACATTTTCTCAGTATTCATACCCCCGATGACACACGCTCGCTCCGAGTTCAGACAATGCATTATTGACATTCATCAAAACGGACCCCATGACATCCTTCACTGCTCCCAGTGCGCATTGGTAAATACGCAGCTGCACACATCTCTGTCCCCTCTTCCGGCTGGTGACTCATGCGCCTCACTGAATTAACGGTGGCACTACAGAGGAGGGATGATACTGTAGAAAGTCAGGGTACATAACATCATCTGACTGCTTTATTCCCTTGGCTTCAAACACAAGCACGAAAAGATAAACTTAACACAAAAATGTAAAAGCAAGGAAATTTGTGTTTGGTTCATTATGTTTTAACCTGTTTATTTCCTCTTAAATGGTGCCCCACATGTAAGGAAAACACATTTGTAGGTTGCTCCCATGCAAAAGTAGCCAAGTCTTTTCTGCCAATGCCAAACAGCTTATTCTGATATTGACTCTTGTTCTGAGCTTCGGGTATCCCAGGTGATGACAATCAGGTTAGCCGAGTTGGCAACACCTGTGAACATGGACCCTGCTACAGAGTCAGTGTCTGCTCCAAGAATACCACATCTGACTGACCTGGATAGGGACTGTACCATGGGAAAACTTAAAGCTGGTGTTCTGCAAAACAAAGTTGCAGGGTTATTAGGAGTGAGCCAGTACATTTGACAAACTGCTGTTGCTCTGGTGTCGGCAACATGACAATGCTGACCTCAATCCCACTGAACACGTGAGATCAGCTTGAGTGTGCTGTTCATGTCAGTGTGACCTACACAATCAGTAGCAGATGAAGCTGTTTTTCATTGGCAGAGAAGATTTGGCAAGTTTGTCACGGGTGCAACCCACAAATGTAATTTTTCTTACATATGTGGCAGCATTTAAGGAGAAATAAACAACTTTAAACAGTATGCGATTTATTACCAGGAACATTTCTGCCACTTTCTAATAGTGCTGTAACTAACTTTAAGAATACATTTCACCCACTGTTATCATCATGTCTTGTACCAACACAGAGCACAGCAGCTACCTGGGAGAGTTCTACCAAGAACTACTCCAAGAAAAGTCGATTATGTTCTTAATAATTTTACCCCTTCTCTATGTATGACTCTGGATACTGTAGCTCCTGTGAAAAAGACAGCCTCAAATCAGAAGTACTTGACTCCATAGTATAACTCTCAAATGCATACCTAAAGCAGATAACTCGTAAGCTGGAGAGGAAATGGCGTATCACAAATTTAGAAGATTATCATTTAGCCTGGAGAAATAGTTTGCTGCTTTATAAAAAAAAGCCCTCCCTAAAGCTAGAAGATCTTACTATTCATCATCACCCAGGTTTCTCCTCAGCACTGTAGCCAGGCTCACAAAAAGTCAGAACACTGTTGAGCCACCCATTCCTTTAAAGTTAACTAGTAATGATTTCATGAACTTCTTCATAAATAAAATTTGAACCATTAGAGAAAAAATACTCATTATCTCACAGATGTAACATTACATACAGCTACTTTCAATACCATTGATATTCATTTACTCTTTTTCTCCAATTGATCTTTCTGAGTTAACTTCAGTAATTACTTCCTCCAAACTGTCAACGTGTCTTTTAGACCCCATTCCTCTGTTTACATTATACATGGTTCCCTTAGGCAGTATCATCAGAAGGTATAGCAGACATTTTCACTGCTATGCAGATGACACCCAACTTTATTTATGTATGAATCCAGACAACACACACCAGTTAGTTAAACTGCAGGGATGTCTTAAAGACATAAAGACCTGGGGGAACTCTAACTTTCTGCTTCTAAATTCAGATAAAAATGAGGTTATTGTACTAACATATTGTACTTTGCCCTAAAGTTCCTAGAAATATGGTATCGAAACAGATACTTATGGTGCCTTGAGGCGACTGTTGTTGTGATTTGGTGCTGTATAAATAAAACTGAATTGAAACACTGTTACAACAAAGGAATAATTGGTTTTTTCCTTGTTGTAAATTTTCCTTATTGTGCTAAGCTTATTGTTTTTTCTTTTATTCAAATTGCTCAGATTTGACCTGAATGCATTTATATACAGTGGGGCAAAAAAGTATTTAGTCAGCCACCGATTGTGCAAGTTCCCCCACCTAAAATGATGACAGAGGTCAGTAATTTGCACCAGAGGTACACTTCAACTGTGAGAGACAGAATGTGAAAAAAAAAATCCATGAATCCACATGGTAGGATTTGTAAAGAATTTATTCGTAAATTAGGGTGGAAAATAAGTATTTGGTCACCTCAAACAAGGAAAATCTCTGGCTCTCACAGACCTGTAACGTCCTCTGTAAGAAGCTTTTCTGTCCCCCACTCGTTACCTGTATGAATGGCACCTGTTTGAACTCATCATCTGTATAAAAGACACCTGTCCACAGCCTCAAACAGTCAGACTCCAAACTCCGCCATGGCCAAGACCAAAGAGCTTTGGAAGGACACCAGGAAAAGTATTGTAGACCTGCACCAGACTGGGAAGAGTGAATCTACAATAGGCAAGCAGCTTGGTGTGAAAAAATCAACTGTGGGAGCAATCATCAGAAAATGGAAGACATACAAGACCACTGATAATCTCCCTCGATCTGGGGCTCCACGCAAGATCTCATCCCGTGGGGTCAAAATGATCATGAGAACGGTGAGCAAAGATCCCAGAACCACACGGGGGGACCTGGTGAATGACCTGCAGAGAGCTGGGACCAAAGTAACAAAGGTCACCATCAGTAACACACTACAACGGCAGGGAATCAAATCCCGCAGTGCCAGACGTGTTCCGCTGCTGAAGCCAGTGCATGTCCAGGCCCGTCTGAAGTTTGCCAGAGAGCACATGGATGATACAGCAGAGGATTGGGAGAATGTCATGTGGTCAGATGAAACCAAAGTAGAACTTTTTGGTATAAACTCAACTCGTCGTGTTTGGAGGAAGAAGAATACTGAGTTGCATCCCAAGAACACCATACCTACTGTGAAGCATGGGGGTGGAAACATCATGCTATGGGGCTGTTTTTCTGCCAAGGGGACAGGACGACTGATCCGTGTTAAGGACAGAATGAATGGGGCCATGTATCGTGAGATTTTGAGCCAAAACCTCCTTCCATCAGTGAGAACTTTGAAGATGAAACGAGGCTGGGTCTTCCAACATGACAATGATCCAAAACACACCGCCCGGGCAACAAAGGAGTGGCTCCGTAAGAAGCATTTGAAAGTCCTGGAGTGGCCTAGCCAGTCTCCAGACCTCAACCCCATAGAAAATCTGTGGCGGGAGTTGAAAGTCCGTGTTGCTCGGCGACAGCCCCAAAACATCACTGCTCTCGAGAAGATCTGCATGGAGGAATGGGCCAAAATACCAGCTACTGTGTGTGCAAACCTGGTAAAGACCTATAGTAAACGTTTGACCTCTGTTATTGCCAACAAAGGTTATGTTACAAAGTATTGAGTTGTATTTTTGTTATTGACCAAATACTTATTTTCCACCCTGATTTACGAATAAATTCTTTACAAATCCTACCATGTGGATTCATGGATTTTTTTTTTCACATTCTGTCTCTCACAGTTGAAGTGTACCTCTGGTGCAAATTACTGACCTCTGTCATCATTTTAGGTGGGGGAACTTGCACAATCGGTGGCTGACTAAATACTTTTTTGCCCCACTGTAAACCCCCAAAAATATAAAAATTCATCTCAGACCATGAGTTTGCACAAATGATGGTCAAGCTGTCTAGCAAAACTACTATATCTGGAGAAATTGCAATATGATTGTAGCTAATGATGGTTTACAGTATGCTGGCTTTAAAAGGTGAAGGTATACGACGGTATAAGTTTATGAAGAGACTGAAAAGTGGAAAGGCAGTTAGTCCAGATGACATATCTGGACTAACTGGGGTGGTTGAGCCTCTAAATTGTTCGCCACTTGTTAGAAAACACTGCAAAAAAAATGTTCCTCCTCAGACACCTTTTCAGTTTCGTCACACAAAAACTTGTCTTTTTCTTTTCCCTTGTGTGGTGCAAGCTTCTGTTTAACGTTTAACGTGTGCGTTAAACACCTCAACAAACATCACACGAACAGTCATTTAGTTTAGTTTTTTTAATTGTAAAACAAAAAGTATTATAACATAAATCAATACCATCCATCACCCTCTTCAATAACAGCAATCAGTTTTGTGAGCATGCTGCACACATTAAACCTATTGACACTGGAGGTTACAGACCCCATAAGAGTTTATAGCAGGTGGGCTGCTGGCTTCAGCATGGAGAACAGCCCTCCTAGATCATTTCATTAACCTTGCGTAAGTAGCAAGTATTGACTGTTCCTCAGAAAACCTGAGGAATCTTAATGTATGTGTTAACTTTAATATTTTAATATAATTCATACAGGATGAGGCAAGAGCCTCCACAGAACGAGTAATAAGACCTTCTCTGCCAAAGAAGTGACAACTGCTCCTCAACAGGTACAGTGTCTCTGAAACTGATGTCCAACCCAGTGTCCATCCTGCACGTGCTCCCCCTCAGTTCAGCTGTCTGATGATTACATTGATATCTGTGCCACGGTACCCTGGGTTTCCCAGGTCCTTCAGGAGCCCAGCTTTGTCTTTGATGGAGTGACGAGCCACTGACAGCCTGAACGGCAATAGGAAGTTATTGGCAGCTCGAAAGTTCTTCCCAACAGAGTAGATCTCGTGAATCAGGTCCTCCAAGCAGATAATTCCGTGTTTACCTGTGGGCCGAGAGGAGCAGAGAAAGCTCATTAAAGCTGATTCCTGCAGAATTTGAACTCATATTCAGCCAACATGGAAAAAAACAAACAAACAAAAAAAAAAAAACCCCAAAAGACCCCCAAAACAGCCGTGTAGCAGCTATATCCCACAGACTGTACCTAAAAGAGAGACGTAGCCGCTAGCTATAATCTTTCATCCATAATATCTGTATTTTGCAAATTCTAATTACCATTAGAGTCAAAAGCAGAAAAAGGTTGTGTGCTTTATTGTTAGCACAATAAAAACAATATCTGTGAATAAAAACAATGAGCAGTGGGCAAAATGGGCCCGGCTTCAAGAAAGGGTAACTAATAAAAAATAAGCAACTTTCCATTGAGATCGGCAGGAACGAAATGAGTGGGCAATTATGTGTATCGTGATAAAAGGCTGCGGCTACACACTTTTTTAATTGCAAAGCCAATTACATACAGCTTTTTGACAACTCACGTCCTTGCATGACAGTACTACAGACAGCCACTGTTGCTGGGTGAAATCAGTTACAAACATGGTGCGGCACCAAGAACCTTGTACTAATTTCTCCGGTTGCTAGGAGAATGCCATGGTTGCCAGTAATATCTCATGTTTGTCAGCAAATACTTCCCAATTCCAAGCATGGTAGTAGTAAAATTTGAAAAAGTGGAATGCAAACCAGAAATAGACATGGTTCATCTCAAAGTGAAAGCTGTGTCTCAGTGTTACAGTAAACATGTTTCTAAGGACCTTCTCCATTTCCGGAGCTGTTTCACTACAGCTAGATGCTGTTTGTAGACAAGTCCACCACTTCTATTCAAACTGCGATCAGAGCAATATGCTGCCAACCAAAGCAATCACAAGATCACAAGGAGATTTTCCCTAACTGGACCTGAAGTACCCATTTATTATATAGACACAGATTGTTTCCAGGGAGTCACTGACCATATGTAGGCATGTGTGACTGGGGCTTTAGCCATCATCTCCCCAGCAACTTCCATCAACCACTCAAAACTGGTTGGGATATACTCACCTGGTGGTTACCAGATGGTCATGGACCTTTCTAATTATCACATGTGATAGCAGGAAAGCTAACATTACGTTGTTATTGATCATGAGTGCAAAACCTTGTTACACACAACTATGTTCATCTGCCCTCTAGAGGACATCATAGCCCCTTTTCTGTTAGTACCTAATTGGATCAACTCAGCACGGTTTGCCACCTGCTTGCCCGGGGTTCCAAGCGATCTGACCAGGTACTAAAATGTGATGCTGTCAGACTGCATACAGCCCACTGGCTGGTCAGTGGCGTCACTCAATGAGTCCTGAGAGCGTCTTATTCATGAAAATTAAAACCACCACGAAACCCGGCATTGAAGGAAATGGCTACAAAAAACTATCTTAAAAATAATTTAAGAAGTAAAAATAGAACCATGTATTTTATTTTACATAACACTTGAAAGAAAGATGGAGTATGACAGAGGGAGTGGGAGGAGGAAGAGACAGGGAGATAAAAGAGAAAACATGAGAGAGAGGGAGAAAGAGAGGAAGAGAAAGAGGAAGGGATGGAAAGAGAGAGAGAGTGCACAGCTGAAATGAAGTGCACTGCGACTGCAGGTGAGTGGGGGGGGAGGGAGTGTAGTGTGAGTGACTCACCCATGTGCTCCTCGATGAAGGTGTTATCTGTGAGGGGAACTCTCCTTCTGCCTATCCTGGTCTGACCTCTCTTCAGAATGAGCTCACGAACCGACTTCAGGTTGGGAAATCTGTCCGACACACAGCCCAGTATGTAGAGGATTGAACACAAATTCAAGCCAGCATTACCCTCTAAAGCACACTGTGTTTCATGCACTCACCCCCACGCCACATAAGGCTCCACCATCTTCATCATGGCGATGGAGGTCTTGTTAATTTTGACAAAGCTCCCACTGAAGATCTTCCTCAGCCTCATCATCTGGATCACTTTCATCACTTTAGGGCTGACACCTTTAGTCCTAACAGGAGAGAACCAGTCGGGTTAAACAAACTGTCGGCCGGTTCTGGAAGCCTGTGTCTGCTTTCCAGTACTTACTGTCTAATGCGGACGGCGAAGGCAAGCTTGTTCTTGGCTGGAGGCAGTGGTTCAGCTGGTCTCTGTTTGACCCTTTGGATGCGGGTGTCATCCCGATGCTGTGTGTGGCTTTCCTTTAAGAAATCTTCCAAACGCTTGAACTTGATTTTCCCTTTAGTCACCTACAGCATTACAGAAATACACACATGAATGCACAACAGTACATAAATTCCATACAGCTTTTAACTACAAAGCACGGTCATGACGTTTGGATATATTGTATTGTATATATGTAATATGGGCATCAGTGCTTACCCTTCTCTTCTCGAGCAGTGCGAGTTTGGCTTGCGTGGCTTTGATTGCCTGGTATGCCTTCCTCTTTTTCAGAAGATACTCTGGAACCAACTTGATTGCCTTTTTTGTCCTGAAGAGAACAAAAAGTAAGAGAAGAAAGCTTTGGACAAACTAAATAAATGTGGCTCAGTCACAGGATTGTGCTGTGGAGAACTGGAGGCTTTGAGTAGCTTCAGGTGTAACCCTAAAACTTGTTAGGAATCACCTAAAACTTGGTTTTTCAGTGTTACCACGGTAGGTTACTTGTTACTGGGGTATGACAGGTATAATAGGTCTGTTAAGACTGATTCGCCAAAAACACATAGTGTTTATGAGGACCTAGTTAGCCTGAGGTCCCAAGGCTTTTCTTGCGTCCTTGTATTAGGACAGCCGGGAGAACAGAATTGTCTGACACAAATTCAAATAGCATGACCCAGAAATTTTAGGGGTGACGCCAGGTCGGGAGGCCGTGGGTATACTTATTCAGTTCGGAGCTACCTTCGAGTCACCGACGGTATACACTTAGCTCCATGTGAAAGTAAGCTCCTCAAGATACGCCTTTTTCACCCATCATCCTTCTAAATAGCTACCTTAATCGAATCTTTAAGATTCGTACTTAAAGGAAAAAGCACAATCAGCACATCTACACATAGGAAACCGAACGGATGAACTTAGATACGATTATAAAATCAAACACATACTCTGATTCGGCCATCGTAGATTTCTCGTCGCGGACAAATGACGTCAGCAGATGGTGCCTCGACCTGCCACAGCGTTTCCCACTGCCGATGTTTGGGGGTGATGGCATCATGTGTAGATCTGACATTTTTAAGGTGATGCCACAAGATGGCACAAGCCACACTTTGGGGGTGATGACGACGCCACGGCCGTTTGCACAGACATGCCTCAAAATACGAAGTTAAAGCATCCATTCCATCATGCTAGTATCGATGCTATCGGCATTTCGATCGATCCGCCCACATCTTACTCTTTTCCGGGTTTAATTTTTGTAACTTGGCGTGTTGTGCCGCTGCAGATTGGTTGCAAGAAGGAAGGCAACCGCCTCCAAATGGGACAATCCCCACTAGGGTTTAAATTCCCGGGACTCTCCACCTTTTGTTTTTAGAACCGAAGAAGCCTCTTGGATGAGATAAGTCTTCTTATAAGTCCAGTTTCCTTCGTCAAGATCTCTCTCAATGCTGCCATCACCTGGATGGCTGAGAACCCACACAAACATCTGTCTCACTTTGCATCTATGCAAATCTGACAGTAAAAGATTTGTTTTAACACCAAGCATGACCTAGGGTTACACAAATATTTTTATCAGGACCACTTAAGGTTTGCCTTCCTTGCATGAAAGTCTAAAATAAAGTTCTTTTGAATTTTCATATATTAATCGTTTGAGTTATTTAGTCAGTGTGAATAAAGCATACACTGTCTCTTATTCAGCCATGCCTCTCTGTTCCCACACACCATTTTGGTTTCAGTGTTTTATACACTGCTCAAAAAAAAAAGAGAATGATATCTATACTGATATGGACCTGGTAATGTGTTAGGAACAAAAGGATATCATGTGGAAATGAGAATAATTAACCTACATAGGTTGAATTCAAAGACACTCTAAAAAGAGGATATTCTCTTTATATCACCTGTAAAGAGACACACAGTACATCTTTCCAAATGCCTTGATATCAGTTTGAATAATCAGTTTTCAGAAAATATTTTAACCCTGGAGAACCCATGGGGTCAGATCTGACCCCATTGGTTTATACTAGGGAAACCATGGGGTCAAATTTGACCCCATGGGTTCTCCAGGGTTAAACTGTTCAGAAAAACTGCTTCAGACCTAGGACAAGACAGAGCTGTGGTGTAGGCATCCAAAACACGTGCTTTAAGATGCATTTTAGCACTACGTGTCACATTTTCGGGCTTTAAACTCTAAAGTTGCTATACTGTGGAAAGGTTGTACAAATACTCTAAGAAGGATGAACACTTAACACATAACACATCACATAAAATCAAATGAAAAGATGACACAAATTATTTTCCTAATTCTTTCACTGTAGCAAAGTCCATGAAATCACTTAAAAAATATGGCATAAGTATAAACGGTCCTGAATGGGAAATTACCCTATTGTCGAATGACGAAAACTCCAAAATATAGGCGTCAGGCCAAGGGGATACAAGGATACCCACCCCAGCCCACCACCTCTCAGCATGGCCAACTTCAGACTGGAACAGAGTCCAGCCCCTCTCCGGGGGACTGGTTCCAGAGCCCAAGTTGTGCACTGAGTCGAGCTTGACTATAGTCAGTTTCGCTCAACCTCACATACTAGCTCAGGCTATTCCCATTCAGAGAGGTGACATTCCATATCCCAAGAACCATTCTGGGTAGCTGGAGATCTGTCTGGCAGAGTCACTGCTCTTGGCTGCTACCTGGCATACATTGCAACAGACTCCTACTATGCCTCCTGTGGGCGATGGGTCTACAGTAGGGCCTACATTTTTTACCAAAAATGTCTTTGAATAAAATATTTTTTTATTCTGTATCAGTAAGTCTGCAGGATCTTAGCCTGGTCATTGTCAACCACCCTGTGGGGTATATCCCATTTTGTCCATGTATATCCCATACTCAACATAGATGTTCCTGTATTTTATACAGTGTGCCAGCCACTTGTATATGGTCTTCCATGTATGCCGTGCATGTTAGAATCTTGTACCCTGCTGTTATGTGCTGGACAGTCCCTGTACAGGTAGAGTAACTATGGTAGCAGAGAGACTCACTGTGTCTCAAAGTGACATCAAGAAGATGATAGAGGTTACTTTATTATGTTCTGTATTGACTGTGGATCAATTAGTTAACCAAACCTTTTTATATAGGTTCAAAAGTGAACTTCTTTAAGTTTGATTGAACTAAAATAAAAATAAAAACTAAATGTTTTTATTTAGTTTAAGTTAAGTATAATAACCTTGGCTCACACATTAAGACACACTTTTTGTGTTCAAAACTCGTATGACTGTGTCAGCACTGTGATTTCCTTCAGTTTAATTTCTCCCTGATAATTGACTGAAATAACTGAACTGAACTACTTTTTGAATATGTGCAGTTTCAGGTCTGAGCGTGTTGCTCCATCTAGTGAGCCATCTTAAGCATTGCTTAAAGTGACCTGAATACTGCTTAGTTTTTTTAAATTTTTTTTTTATAAAGTACAGCAACAACAGAGATATTCTGCACACATCTGTATCAGCTTTATTGGGCAAGTATGAGTATACATAAAAGGAATTGGGCTATATTTTCATATACATTCTAAACACATTTTAATGACCATTTAATTTATTCAACAGCCACATCTTCTATCTGCCGTTAAAAGCTGTGCAGTGACCTGTCCTTCCACGATGATTCTTGTTCCTCTTCTTTCTCAGGGTTCTGCTGCTTAGATATAAAAAGTCCCCTCTCGCCCCTGCAGGCAGTCTATCCTTCAAGCTGAGGGTTCTGTGCAGTATCTTTGCTGTTCCTAGGACCGTACTCTTCTGGATATGCAGCATGCCTTAGTTTAGTAGCAAGTATATTGGATATGTTAGCAGAATGTAAATGATCTAAATGTTCATCACAGTGAAGGCCTATGGAAAGAAACTGCACAGATGTCTGCGTGTTTTGATTCTCTGTAGTACCTACCAGAATGAGTCAATAACATTATTAATATTCTCTGGGGACTAGTTTGACTAGGTGGTAAAAATAAGTAAAATGTAATTATTTATTTTGTAATTTATTTGAAAATGTGAATTATAATTTCAGTTCAGTAATCCTGCTTGGCGTTCTGCCCTCCTTTATTCTCCTCTGTCCAAGTCCAACAACACCTTCTCTCTGGCACTGCTCAGAAAGTTTGATGCGGCTATAACCCGATCACGGAGGTCATTCCTCTTTATTTATTTATTTTCTTTGACAAAAGACACTTACTTACTTTTAAAAAAAATCTACATAAAATTTACAAAGTTCTGCCTGCCCTACAATGCTTTTGATTCAGATCAGCATCAGAATTTGCTTTGCTACATACACTGAATTAAATTATAAATATGAAAGATAGAAAAATAAAAATAAGGTACTCTGTTGAAGATGCAACATGTTAAATATGTACTCTAAAGTTATGCTGTATACAATGTAAACAAGATATGTGAAAGTGAAAATAGTGAAAATAGTCCAAGTGTCACAGGGAGAGTTTGAGGCTGAAAGTGTTCCGACTAGCCAGCGTGTCATGGAGAGGGTATGAAGGATTGTGTCATGGTCCATGTGAGTGGGTGTTTTTCTATTAGCTCTCGGTTTCCACCTCTAGGTGGAGCCTCATCAGCCTTTAAGACCAGTGCTCTCAACAAATCTTTGCCAGAACTTAAGGGAATGCCACCAACCCTTAAGTGACTGGCATTGTGGTAGATTGGTAATCTCTAGGTGTTAAACACTCTGTTCTTTAATCAGAACGCAGAAATGCATATGGCTCATCTGATGATGTGGACTGCTACTGCCTGAGTTTGTGCTGTGTAGCAGCAGTCACAGAGAAGACAAAAGTAGTTCTTTGTACTTCTTAGGTTCTTAGGCCTTCTTTGCTTTAGCTGACTTGATCAAACCTAGAACCCCAGCTGGAGATAAAGGGTAAAAACCTGAGTAGTCATCAACATTCTCTGCTAAGCTGGGATTTCTGCATGAACTGTGGCAGTTCATGCAGTATATGCAATAAAAAGGTAAAACTGTAGTGAGATGCTTAGTTTTTTACTTTCATGCTTTTTGGCCAACTTCACTTTTTTGATGTGGACGTGTGCACATTTTTCTAACTTGTATTTGCCACTAAAGCTCATATGATTGAGATTAAGACGGAATACAAGAAAAAATATTTTTTAACAGCAGCAATTAGTCATTTTAGCATGCTTCATCGTTATGTATGCACAGCTCTTTGCAAAAACACTGAGCTAAAAGTCACTAAGGGGACATGAAGATGTGATACTTTAATGCTCTGTGGGTCTGTGCGCACACATTTATCTTTTTTTAGCAGGAACATTTTGACTACTCCAGCTTTGAAAGAGAGTAATCACCAATATTTGTTGACCAGGAATAAGGAGTTTTTTCAAATTATGAACTATGATGTGTCGCACATCACATATTCTGAATATGTCAAGTAAATGGGACAGTTTGAAATGGTTGGACAAATGGAGTGCAGTCCCACCATATCATATTACCTTTTGTAAGGACAGAGAAGCTGCCCTAGGTAAACTGTCAGATGGTTCCCATGGCAATATGCATTTACTGTGTTATTCAAATCCCAGACACACAATGTATGCACACCCCCTACACACACTACAAAGTCTCAGATAATTTTTGTTTTTGAATTAATAAAGCCAAATTATTCCACAAAGGTCAGCGCAAGTCTCATTATGCAGCACAATAGTCACTTTAATCAGACTTCAAAGAGAAGCGGCTCTACCACTGCTGAGCCTGCATCTGGCTGTGTTTGTACTTTATCACAATATTCAGGTTAAGGTCTGTGCATATATTCAGAGTGGTTTGGGGTGGGGGTTCTAGGGTGGGGGACAGAGAGCGATAGATGGGAGGCGGAGGTGGTTATGACAAGGCTAATTGATTTTAAAGTCCCTTTGAAGTCAGGAGTGTGTGAAGCATAACACAATCGGGTGATTATTTTTTGTGCTCTCCCTCTCACAGGCATAGATGCACATGCAGTACTGTGTGAAAGTCTCGAGCCACCCTCAGTTTGTAATTTGCTTCAAAGGAACCAGACTTTGTTGTATTTTTTAAAGTGGTCTTGAGCAAAGAATGCAAAGAACCCATTTTAAATAGTGTCTTTAGGCACTTTTAAACTAACAGCTTGTCACAAAGATATATAATTAAGTAGAGTTTGAATGGCATATAAAAATCTAC